ACGGAGGCTCCGCCTACATCCCCCATCATCTGATACACACATAGAAACAATGTATTCAGTCAGTGTGTGTGTGTTTCCTACAGATGGATCCAGTAAGAGGAACCCACCAGAGAGATGTCCCCGCCCCCTGTATTCCCGGGACCCCACCCAGGAAGATCTCACCATCCCCCACCATGAGAGATGTCTCTGCCCTCTGTATTCCCGGAACTCCACCCAGGAATATCTCACCATCCCCCACCATGAGAGATGTCTCCGCCCCCTGTATTCCCGGGACCCCACCCAGGAAGATCTCACCGTCCCCCACCATGAGAGATGTCTCCGCCCTCTGTATTCCCGGGACTCCACCCAGGAAGATCTCACCGTCCCCCACCATGATCAGGTAGAAGAACTGACTGAGACCCCAATCTGTATGAAATGATCTCCTTCTCTGGAGAGTCCGGTGATATTACATTTTGTTGGTTTAGGTTGAAGACCTGAGGGATCTAAAAATTGAGGTTAAAGAAGAAGAAGAAGAGGAGACGTGTGTGACGGCAGATCATCAGTCTACAGTGGAGGCTTGGATAATGGTGACCGTTAAAGAAGAGGAAGCTTCTCTAGATATCAACTCAGGTGAGTGATGAACTCTAAATAACTGTTCACAGGATGTCATGTCCCCAACAAATGAGGAGGAGATACTGGACACCATATGAAGGTCCATCTCCATTCCCCAATATAACGTCATGTGACCAACCAATGAGGAGGAGACACTACACCATATGAAGGTCCATCTCCGTTCCCCAATATAACGTCATGTGACCAACAAATGGGGAGGAGACACTGGACACCATATGAAGGTCCATCTCCATTCCTCAATATAACGTCATGTGACCAACAAATGAGGAGGAGATACTGCACACTATATGAAGGTCCATCTCCATTCCCCAATATAACGTCATGTGACCAACAAATGAGGAGGAGATACTGGACACCATATGAAGGTCCATCTCCATTCCCCAATATAACGTCATGTGACCAACCAATGAGGAGGAGATACTGGACACCATATGAAGGTCCATCTCCATCCCTCAGATCTATGAGTTGACTTCTGGACACAATTGGTGACAATTTTGATGCCGATGTTTCTCTCTAACATGTGACGTTTGGGATTCCTCAGATGGACGCCAGATTTCGTCCGCAGATGACGATGGAGAAGACAATGGAATTGCGAGACCTTCTCGGGGAGAACGTCCTTACGCGTGTTCGGAGTGCGGTCAAAGTTTTAAACGGAAAGATCATCTCCAAAGACATTTGAGAAGTCACACGGGCGAGACTTTTCCATGTTTACAGTGCGGGAAGTGTTTTAGGCGGAAAGATAGACTCGGCACACACCTGCAGACCCACACGGGTGAAAAGTTGCATACATGTCCAGAGTGCGGCAAATGTTTTCTGGGGAACGATGGACTGGCGACTCACCTGAAGACCCGCGCGTGTGAGAAGCCGTATTCCTGTCCAGAGTGCGGGAAACACTTTGCCCATAAGAGCAATCTCAACCAGCACCGGAAAATTCACACGGGTGAAAGTTCCTTCTCGTGTTTGGAGTGCGGGAAGTGTTTTGAAAAGAGATCTGACCTCACCGTCCATCAGAGAGTCCACACTGGTCAGGAGATCTTTTCCTGCGCGGAGTGCGGGAAGCTGTGCGTCAGTAAATCCCGGCTTACCGTCCACCAGAGAAGCCACACCGGCGAAAGGCCCTTCCCATGTTCTGAATGTCACAAATCGTTCGTCGCAAAGTCAGAACTTGTTGTACATCAGAGAAGCCACACCGGGGAGAAGCCGTTTTCATGCCCAGAGTGCGGGAGAGGCTTTTCGGCCAAAGGGCACTTTAACAACCACATGAAACTGCACACTGGCGAGAAGCCGTTCTCCTGCCAAGAGTGTGGGAAAAGTTTCCGCCTCAAAGATGAACTCATTGTCCACATAAGACGTCACACAGGTGAGCGTCCGTTTTCATGCTTGGAGTGCGGGAAAGGTTTCATCCAGAAAGCTCAACTGCGCAAGCACGAGAGGATTCACACGGGCGTGCGGCCCTTTTCCTGTTCGGAGTGCGGGAAAAGTTTCCCACAGAATTCGCACCTTCTCAAACACATGAGAAACCACACGGGCGAGCGGCCTTTTCCGTGTTTGGAGTGCGGGAAGCGTTTCCTTTACAAAAGAGATCTGGTTGCCCACCAGAGAGGGCACGCGGGCGAGCGGCTTTTCTCATGCTTGGAGTGCGGGAAGTGTTTCACGTATAAAGGACGGTTTCTGAAACACCAGAAGAGTCACACGGGTCAGCAGCCTATCTCCTGCCCATAGTGCGAAATGTGTTTCAGGGACCGACGCGGCCTTGCTGTTCACCAGCCGCAAGTGTAAGGGATCTTTCTCGTGTTGGGAATGCGGACAACGTATGTGTGCGGTGGGAAGTTCTGGGCTTTCTGATCCAATAAAGTGGACGGTATATTCTGTGTGGGTTCTTATTTCATTTGGAGTGAAATCGGCTTTCTCTTGGGGGGTGGAGGGGGTTATGTACCAGCAAACATTCTGAGATCCGTCCATTCCTGCAGAGTGGGTGAGGGGACAACCGGTGTTGCGCAATAGTTCTTCTGCTCAGAGTATAGGGATCTAGTGATCGCCAGGTCCAAGAAAGGGTCCTCATCTGGAATCTCTAGAAAACCCCCAGCTGTGGGTCGGGGGATGGTGTATCCCAAATCCCATATTACTAGTATTAGTTATTTTGCACATTTCCCGCACATATGCATAAGGACCTCCTTCCTCCTGCTGGGGACCCCTCTAGTGAACTATATAGAGGGATCAGGACCTCCTTCCCCCTGCTGGGACCCCTCTAGTGATAGATCTATATAGAGGGATCAGGACCTCCTTCCCCCTGCTGGGGACCCCTCTAGTGATAGATCTATATAGAGGGATCAGGACCTCCTTCCTCCTGCTGGGGACCCCTCTAGTGATAGATCTATATAGAGGGATCAGGACCTCCTTCCTCCTGCTGGGACCCCTCTAGTGATAGATCTATATAGAGGGATCAGGACCTCCTTCCTCCTGCTGGGGACCCCTCTAGTGATAGATCTATATAGAGGGATCAGGACCTCCTTCCTCCTGCTGGAGGAAATGTAATTTGGATTTGTAGGTACAATGAGGCCGACCCAAAAAAAGATGACTGCAGTCCCTCTGAGCTCCACCAGGTGGTGATCTCAGCTATACCCAGACAGGAAGTCTCTATGACAGACAGGAAGTGATGTCAGCTATAAATAGGAAGTTCCGGGTGAGAGGGGAGGAAGTAGAGAGGAGACATTGCTGGAACTGGCAGCAGAGGATGGCAAAGGGGGAAGGTTATCGGTGGGGTGACACCGGGGATCAGAGGTTTCCACCATTGATTAATAATATGGGGACTGGAAGACGTCAACCGAATCCCAACGAGGTTTGTTCAACGGCAAATGAAAGGTCATGATGGGAATTCGAAGGTTAGGCCCGTAGGTTGGGGACTCCCCTCCGCCCCTCCCCCACCCCTGCACATTAAATGGAATACAATTGGGGAAAGCAGGGATGGAGGAAGGACTGAAGAAGCTCGATGCCGAGAGCCAACCACAACACGAGACAACATATCGGGTTGCCTGTAAAGCTGATGGGTAGAATAGGGAAGAGTTGTACTAATGTCTTCCTCTGGGCCGGAGCCGATGGAGATGTGAGAGGTCGGACCCGACGGCCGGAAGACCTATATGGGTGGAGTCAGAATCTTGTCCCCTGGACACGAGAAGGAGGCGTCCCGAGACGACAACAAGACGTCATTTATTCCAGTTCTCGCTTTATTATCCCTCTACAGGGAGGAGCTTCCCGCGCAGATCACATGACCACATCCAGGAAGATTGAGAAGGACCGGAGTCACATGACCGAGAGCATACTGAACCTCACCCTGGAGATCATCTACCTGCTGACCGGAGAGGTGAGGAGGATTCTGGGAGGTCACATGACCTCACTCTTATCTCCATTAATAAGACCCTGACCAGAGGGGTGAGGGGGATTCTGGGAGGTCACATTGTATAGTTGATCTTTAATTGTGAATTTTTTTCAACCAGGTGACCATCACAGTGCCCCCATGTGACTCCCTAAAACCCGAGAGACCCAACATGGAGAAGGTTCTAGAAGTCACCAAGAAGATGATGGAGCTGCTGACGGGAGAGGTGAGCGGTGCCGGGGATTCTGGGACATGATCCAGGAACAGACAAGGGGCGTGTCTGGGTGGTGACGGGAGAGGTGCCGGGGATTCTGGGACATGATCCAGGAACAGACAAGGGGCGTGTCTGGGTGGTGACGGGAGAGGTGAGGAGGATTCTGGGACATGATCCAGGAACAGACAAGGGGCGTGTCTGGGTGGTG